AAGGAACACGCCGTGCTTCAGTTTAAACTGGAAAACCTACACAGAACTGGGAGGGGGGAAAAACAGGAAAAAAGAGCAAAATAGATGTCAGTCATAGGACTGGGTTGGGTTTTTTTGCTGTTCCTTTGCAGGAATTTTGAATACATTTCATCTTATTCCCCAGAACACACTGAGAGAAAGTTGTGTGGATAACACACCAGTGGGCTTCTTTGACTGTGCAGGCCACGGCTCTCCAGTGAATCATTGAGCAGACTGGGTGTCCAAATCAGGGCGTTGGAAAAGCTTTTGGGTTAAGACTGAAAGCTGTGGATCTGTCAATCAAAATATGTATGCATACACGCTTTCTTGGCCTGGTTTTGCTGCCCACAAGGCTGGCTGTAGGTGCACTGAACCCTCCACCATATAGCTGCACTGTCAGCAGGACACATCTGCACCTCATTGCCTGTGATGGTAAGCTCCGGAAAGAGAAATCACTTTGGTGTCAAAAAAGCTAATCTCTCTGCATTTCAAAAGCAACCAGGAAGGAGCTCACTGCGCTGAGCCTGCAGATATCCTTTGGAGTAGGACGACTAATTAACAAGCATTATTACGTGGAGTCAGATAAGATACCATGAGAAGCAGTGGCAGTCAGGTGACGATGATGCGAAGTAGGCTCCCTACCATAAAAAAGACATTGAGGTGCTGGACCGGGTCCAGAGAAGGGCAACAAAGATGGTGAGGGGTCTGGAGCACAAGTCTTATGAGGAGAGGCTGAGGGAGCTGGGGTTATTCAGCCTGGAGAAGAGGAGGCTGAGGGGAGACCTCGCTCTCTACAACTCCCTGAAAGGAGGGTGTAGAGAGGTGGGGGTCAGTCTCTTCTCTCAAGTAACAGGAGACAGGACGAGAAGAAATGGCCTCAAGTTACGCCAGGGGAGGCTCAGGCTGGATATTAGGAAAAATTTTTTCACCAAAAGAGTTATCAGCCATTGGAATGGGCTGCCCAGGGAGGTGGTTGAGGCACCATCCCTGGAGGTGTTCAAAAGACAGGTTGATGTAGTGCTGGGAGGTATGGTTTAGTGATGGTGTTGCTTTGTTTGTTGTGCGGGTGTCTATTTTTGTCAGTTAGGCTGACGGTTGGACAAGATGATCTTTAAGGTCCCTTCCAACCTAGAAGATTCTGTGATTCAAATCTTATAGCTGTTCGAAACTTCAATAAACAAGTTATAATCGACTTCTATGTTTATAGGTACTCTATGAGCTATTTCACTATGAAGAGGTATATAAAAGTCCTCCTATTGGCATCTCAGTTGTGTGGTGTCTGTATTGCACCTTAGTATCTTTATTCTTCAACATAGGGAGTTTCTTGGTTTCTGAAAGTTTGTCATATCTTTCAGTGATCTGAAGAAAGAGTGAATACGTCAATTTTCACATACTCCTACACTTTTTGCATTCTGTCTCATTTTACCTGTTATAAACTTTTTTTTTTTTTCAAATCAGGCTTTCTTCCTCTGCTTCAGAGTCTGTATCACAGGGTGTGCTCTTTTCACTTTAATTCCTTCAGTCTGTAAGTAATTTTACATAATCATAATAAAAAAGAAATGTCAGTTTGGGGAAAGCAAATAATAGTTTCATATCCCAGAGCCTTTACTGCTACAACCACACTGCCCCAAAAATTAACCGAGAAGAAAAATTGCAGAGATGAAATTATGTATCTGAAGAGACTAGGTAATTCTAATAATTTTAGGACATTTTATTATAAGACATTTCTTCTGGATGACTTAGAATGGATGATTAAAAATCAGTGCAGAATTTTATTCTCCTAATTTTTAAATTATAGAGCAAGTGGTGGGAATGGAGAGAAACAAGGAGAGAAATACTCTGTATGAAATGTACTATGAAGTTTTTAATGCCTACAAAATTAATTGACATAATTTCCTGCAAGGGTACGGAAGCAAATATAGATAATACTTTATAAGTATTTCTTTGGCACTTTGATACACAGGTTAGAAAAGAATCAACATGGGTGTAGATCTGTGTCATTATTTTTATACCTTATGCAATTCTACCTGTATCCGTGACTTGTTTGGAAATACCTAAAAAGTGGTTGCCATTGTGCTTCAAAACGGAGAATAAGAAAAAACTGAGCAGCCAGGTATGTTTGACAAACAGCTCGGCCTTGAAAAGAAAAAGAAACTGCTTACGATCAGTTCCAATCATTAACTCCCTGACATTTCTAATGCGATCTCTTCTAGGGATGAGACCCAGAGGCATCAAAGTGGCATCTGAAACACTGCAAACAGCGTAGTCCTGCCTCAGAAGTCAAGCAGTGGCAGAAACCTTAAACAGCATCAAATAGCACTTGTCTCGGCTTTCTGAGAGCGCGAGAGTTTGTCTTTGCTGCAGGCATTAACAACACTACAAGAAAGCCATTATCCCCTCAATGCATTAAAAAGGCGTATAAAGAGTGGTAGAGCGAAGACTTTCTGTCTCGGTGGACTCAGAAACTGCTGGACTGTGAGATCTTAGATAGACACCACTAGCAATTGTCAGAGCAGAGATTGCCACGTGCACAAGGTGGCCAGAAACACTGTTTAGTGGGCCAGTTTTGCAAAGCCTTCATGGTTTTTTTGCATCATTATTTGCTTCATGGAGAACATACCTTGTGTGGACTACAACATCCTTAGCAATTTTCTCGGCTGCAGTACAAAGTTGTGGCTGCCCCATCCCTGGAGGGGTTCAAGACCAGGCTGGATGGGGCTTGGAGCAACCTGGTCTGGTGGGAGGTGTCCCTGCTCCAGGGCAGGGGGTTGGAACTCGATGACCTTTAGTGTCCCTACCAACCCAAACCATTCTATGAGTCCATGTTCAAATTATGTAATTAATAAGTGGTGACTGCTAGATAAACATGCACTTTTGATAGAATAATTATTTCATTTGAAAATATACCGAAGGAAGTAGAATTCACTTTCCCTCTACTGCATGATTGTAATGACTTCAGCACGTCTCGCAGTGTAAAACTAACTGCTAATTATCTTTATCCTGAAACTTTTTTAGGACAGCCTTCCTGATCCGTCAAAAGGCCCCGCTGGTATTCCTGAATTACTACTGATGAGTTTCATCTATGCTATCTTAAGGCTTTTTCCTTCTATTTATAGATTCTTCCCATTATCTTACGATGTTAAAAAAATATGGAAGACTCAACTAACAAGGTACAAGCTAAAACCACACAAAAAAGAGATGCTAATGTAAAAAATTTCTATTTCTGAAAAAGTGTAAGTCTCTCCTTGGAAATGCTAATTGGCAATGCAACAAAGATACTTTGTTTCAAAAAATAGACTGCATTGGCATTGCTATGTTAATTTATCCAATTAAAAATGGTCAAATATGCATTCACGGGGCTCAAGGTTAACAGGTAAGGGCTGTATTTCACAGTCAGTTAGAAACCTGGCAGTCTGGGTTCAAGGTTATTTTATACAGTTTTTGTACCGAAATGTCTATCACCTAAAATAGAATTCACTTTCAAGGCTGTTTTCCTTAGCTGAGGGGGAAAAAAAAGAAAAAAATTCTTCATTAGTCTGCTGGTAATGTAATTGCACTAATTTATTACAAAACCAAGACTAATACAAAAGCAGGAAAAAAAAAAGGCGCTGCTGCACAGCACCTCATATTCTCATTTCTAGTATATTGACAAATCTTTAGTTCTGAGAAAACCCAGCTTCCTACTGCTGCCAGAGGAAGCTGTATGAACAGTGAACCCCTCCCTGTCTCCTTTATTCTCTCCTCAGGCTTTTGTTCTTCGGACAACTTAATTCATCTTTTTTTAAAAATGAAAACAAAAACCCCCACAGATGAGTAAGGCAAACTCCCAATAGCCACCTTCACTAAATAAATACAATAGGGAAGGGTTCTTAATATAAATGCTCAGATGTTGAATTTTGAAGGCTTCTGAAAGAATACTCAGTCAGAAATTTGCAACTGAATAGGGGTCTTCTAAATCTTCTTCTATTTTATATCGTCTGGTTAATGGCAGTTTCGGAATAATTTCTTGCCCCTGAAACTATAGTCACTGCGGTTGGGAAGAGATGTGTCAATGTGAGACTGTGAGCTGCTTATGGCAATTTCTGTCCCACCTATAAGTGATATTTACAAGTAAACAAAAATTCCAGCTCTACTGGGGTTGGAAAGCAAAGTCTGAGTATTTAGATATTTCTATTTTGGGTCCCACTGCATTTCAATATCTGAAATTCAGTGTACGCCTTCTTTTAGCTGCTCTCCAAGTCATTTAATGAGTGTAAATAAACAATAGCAACTAACCTACACAACAGCACCCAACAAACTGCATTTCAACAGCTTAGTGAATTATCAAAGAAATCCCTTCAAATATAAGGGAAAAGAATTACATAGAGCATAGAAATACACATTAATGATGCATGTGTTATGATTTACTACTAATGTGAACAATAAACACATAAATTGGACATTCATTTGGTTGAATTTCCAAACCACCCTGCAGCATTTATATATTATTTTTTTTCTTTTTACCTGGATTTCCTACTGCTAGTCCAAAATAGGAAAAATCCAAGCCTTTCTGAGCAGTTTCTTCCAAATGTGTCCACTTATTTCTGGCGAGTTAAACTTGTCCTGGGTTTCTGGAGCAGTTGATGCCCCTCTACCCCCGAGCACCTGAAGTGTCTTCTATTTAGAGGTTCCTCCCATTATCTTAAGCTGGTAAAGAAATACAGAAGACTCAACTAACATGGCACAAGCTAAAACCACACATTTGTCCTGTAGTGATGTCCGGCTGGATACACACTGGCTAATTGATGCTTCCTCAATTAGAAAAAGGCGGGGAGGAAGAGGGGGAAGCAAGAAGGGGACTGTGGTATCTGAGGTACACTATTTAATTTCCCCAAATTCGAGAAATGGAAAATGGAGCAGTGTAACGGCAGAAAACGGCAACAGAAATTATTGCTCACAACAGCAAAAGAAAAGAATGTGCAAAAATGACACAAACTAAGCACTTCGAGTCACGTAAACAAATTTTATTTTTTGTTTCAGCCTTGAAAACATTTTAAAGCAAGCAACAGTCAACAACACCCAAAATACCAGAAAATGCACGCACGATGCCTACTTAGAATCCCTCTTTCCTTTAAGGAGTTCAGAGGTGCAAGACGCAGTGAGTGAAAGGAAACAGGTATTTTCTACAAGATTGTGACAGAGCTTTTCGCCCTCAATAGCAGAACCCAGCACCTTTCTGAACTCTGACAACACAGGTGTCAACTGCTCGGGCAGGCATAATTTCTAGCTGAGAGAAGAGCAAGCAAGTAAAAAGCTTACGATTAGTTCTAGATTATAAGGGCTTCCCCCCAAGTCTTCGTTAGAAGTTTCTGGTTGCTTCAGCATATTGGTGAGGAAGCTGAGACAGATCAGAGGAAATAAACACTGAATTATCACAGCATGGCACAGGCATGGTTGTAAGAGCAAAGAAATCAAATGCATTTAAGGACATGTGGTAATCACCTGGATATGATTGCTTTTTTTAAGTTTAGTATAGAAATAGAAGTGTTCTGCAGGTAAACAGAGAAGGCCATTCACAACTGACTGTTAAAAAAACAACCCTCCACCAAAAAAACCACCCACCTCCAAGATTTCAGCTTCACTTTCTTGAGTAACTGTCCCTTCTGAGCACATTATTAATAATTTCTCTCTTTAGAGCCATTAGCTTACAATTCTTACCATTACCCTACAAGTAAGGTATAAAGACCATAATGCCTGTCCGTCCTTTTAAATGTTGATGAGTACAGGTGACAACAGCTGCATTTCAATTAAGTTAAAAAGGGATGATGAAAGGCAAAAAAATTTCTGTTAAAACAGGCTGATGGTTAACCATCTTAAGCATAATTCATCAACTTTTTTTTTTTTTTTCCACACAAAATGTATGTACTTATTTCCTGAAAGTTACTTAAAAGCGCAAGAATATTTTCAGTGCAGGCAAAGTATCCCCATCATCATCATCAGGAGTTGGGCAGAGCTGGGGGGAGAGGGTAGGGTTACAGGGACCTTGGCGTTGTCCCCACTTGCTGATTTTACTTTGACAGATGCAATTTTAATCACAGTCAGTACTTGGCTTTTTTTTTTAATTAGGAGATGCTTGATCTGAGGTACGTGTTGGTAAAAGTCACTCTCCTGGAAATGTAAATCCCAAGGATAAAGACACGTGCGGTGATGGCTTCGCTCCGGAGTGTTGGTGCAGTTCAGCATTGAATGGTGCTGCACGTTGCACCTTTGAAGGGTCAGCTCATGCAAGTGAAAAAGTTTCTCCAGGTTGTTCATCTCCCAGTACCTTCTGCTTTTTCAGAAGTGAAGCATTTCACATTTCTAGTAGTCACCCCCCCCCCGGCACTCCTCCCAATACACCTTAGTTCACACTGTGACATCCCTTTTTTTCTCAGAAGTGTCTCCTGGTGAGGGGATCAGTGAATGGTCCAGGTCTGTTCCCAGCAAACCACAGCCACGAGATGGACAAATCCTAAGCAGCAGCAGTGTTTGGCTGCCTTACAGCGCCTCCCAAACAAACGAATTTATACAACTCAGATGTCCCTCCAGCCCTCCTTTTTCACAGCTTTTCATGGCTGACAAAAATAAGCAAGGTGTCTTAATTTACAGATGGTTGTTTTGCAACCATGTTTTGACTTTCTCCAAATTTCTATCCATCCACTGTATATTGTCCTCAATGGTTTCAATAGCTTGCTGGACACAGCGAAGCCGTGCGCTTTGTTCGTCCAGAGAACTGAAGAATTCTTTCACCTGTTGACAAAAACGTGGAAGAATGGTTGATGAAGAGGCAGCACAAGAAGACCAGGAAGAAACTTGTGAACCTGGCCTTGGGTCTTCCACTCTCCTTCTTCCCCACCCTCCATCCAAAGAACAATTTTTTAAGGTTTCATACTGGCTCAAACTCGCAACCTGAGAAAGACTGACACGCTGAGAGAACTGGGGTTGTTCAGCCTAGAGAGGAGAAGGTTCCAGGGAGACCTTAGAGCCCCTTCCAGTCCCTAAAGGGGCTCCAGGAAAGCTGAGGAAGTACTCAATCAGGGAGTGGAACAATATGATGAGGGGGAACAGTTTTAAACTGAAAGAAGGGAGATTTTGATTAGATCTCAGGAAGAAATTCTTTCCTGTGAGGGTGGCAGGACGCTGGCCCAGGATGCCCAGAGAAGCTGTGGCTGCCCCATCCCTGGAGGGGTTCAAGGCCAGGTTGGATGGGCCTTTGAGCAACCTGGTCTGGTGGGTGGTGTCCCTGCCAAGGCCAGGGGGTTGGAACTAGATGGTCTTTAAGGTCCCTTCCAACCCAAACCATTCTGTGATTCTATGATTTCAAACTAGACCAAAAAAAACAGCTGTTGAAAGAGCCATCATGTTGAGTGGGATCCATCTGGTTCCTGCTCATTCAACAAACCCTTAGGGCTGATCAAGCCACAGCGTTTCAGCGGGGACTTCACCAGGGAAACTGAGCATCAATCCCTGCTCTGGCCAGTGACCGCTCTGCTTCAGAAGGCACCTTTCCCTGAGGTGGAGGTGGGTGCTTCTGCTGACACAGGCAACAGTGGTGGGACAGAAAGGAGACCTTGCAGCTTTTTTCAGAGTGCCTCGGTGACAGTCTCCTATGTTTGCCTGCAAGCTGCTCCAGCCCATTTGGAGGGGCAGCAGAAGTGTCAGTGTTGAGGGTAAAAGACTTTCAGAAGTTCTCCCTACTTGGGGAAGTCTGCACCTCCTTTCATTTTTATTAAAAAAACAAAAATCAACAAACAAAAAAACCCCAAAAAAACCAAACAAAAAACCAAACAAAAAAAAAACCCTAAACAAAACAAACAAACAAACAAACAAAAGCTCCCAGTTGTCCCCTTGGGGAAGCCACTGGGCTCTTCCTTAAAGCACTTGGGAATGCCACCACTGGAAATCTGGAGGCTGCTTCTGCTCCTTGGATTCACTGCATTCCTTGTGGCTGCTGCTGCAAGTTTTGGCAGCTGCCTTCCTCACTATTTTTTTTTTTTATTTTTTTTTTTTAAGGATGCCCTCCTGATCACAAGGCTCACCACAGAAACTTAACAGAACCTCAGACTTGAGCCGGTGTTAATGGTAGACTTTCAAAAGGTACAGTGGCTGTATGTGTTGTATAAATGAAATACATCATTTGCAGATTATTTTGCGGATCCCCAAAGGAGATGCAGCCAAATTTTTGGGTAGAACACAGAAATGTCCCTTGCCACTGGCCAAGATGCGGCTACTGACAGACTGTGAGGGTCCACTCAGATTTAAAATTAATATCAAGATCTATATTCTTTCATTTTATATTTAGTATGGTTGCATAATGTATACCTGTGGTTTGCCTTGAAGCAGAAAATTTTAAACTGGCAACAAAAGTAGAAGCTTCTGAAAAGGTATTGTCAGGAATGCTACTACATCTGCACATTGACCAGTCTGGGTTTTTTATCATCGACAGCGATTGTAGAGTTAGTAGACAAAATGATTATCATATATGACATCCAGGAGCACGGAGAATTTTCCCCAGAACAGATGTTGTAGGACAGTGGTGTATTTCTCACTGCCCTTCAGCATTTATCTTGTATACAATCAGTGAAAAGACCCTACTTTTTTTTTCTCACTACTTTCCAGAGTGGGTAGAAAATATTAATAGAGGCAGGTAGAGCATGAAGGGCAGACAAACATTCATATTCTATACCCGGCCCTCCGCTGAAACAAAGAACATCCTCCTCCTTGCCTTGGACTTAATCCTCTCCCTTCAGTAATCTAACTCACCACCACCACTATCATCTTTTTTCAGGGAGAAGGCAGGGTATTACCCTGCTACTTCATAAGTGGTTAAGATTTAATCAAAGTTTTCATTTCAGTTATACTACAACTTTTTTTTAAAAACCAGAACCTGAATGGCTTACCTGTGCAAGCTGTGACCTTGTGGAGTACCGACTTGTGACTCCAGTGACAATGGTTGCTATGGAATTCGAACCGAGTTCAAATCTGGCAAAAAGAATCACCAATACTCAGAAAATGTCTACTTTTGCAGAAAGTAGAGTTTTAAAGTATAATTGGATAGAGAGAGCAGTAAAACAACTTCTGTTCCTTACTTTTCTACAAACTTCTCCCAATTTTCTTTTAAAAACGTCCAAGCTAGATGGTAGCCAGATGGGTTTTTGGAAATAAATACAATAATAAATGGAAGATCCTGAGTTCTTATGATGTCACCACGCAGACCTTGATCCATTAACCTAAGAATTAATAACAAAAATGGAAGTTGTTTAGACCAGTAGATAAAGCTGACAAATTTCTAATTCTAATTTGGTACTTAGTATTTAGTTGAGACTTCCCATTTCTATAGGTTCTGACATATCATTTCTGCTGAGTCACTTCCAACTTTTCACAACATACTCATTGGCCACATCCATCTTTCCCATTTCTGTTATTTTCACAATTACAGTTACCTGGCAGACCTGTATTCTAAATATAAAGCATAAAACTGAGGCTACATTTTGCTCCTCCTCAAAGTTTCCAGATTAATATGGCCTCCACTCCTCCCCCTGTAAGAAAGGTATTTATTTGTTCTACACTAAGTGTCAGCAGAAAATTCAGATCAGCAAATGCTGCTCAGGACTAAGGTGACCTAACAGCAATGCAATGCAAAGAATACATAATAATGTCACAGAATAGTTAAAGTACATCTCCAGTGATATCTGAACACAGCTAAATAAGTGTCTCATGTTGCCACCCCCATCAAATGGCAGAACTCACAGAATGGGTGGTTTGAAGCTAACACCTGAAAACCTCAGTGGTGCTCAGCTCATCGAAAAGCAGGAAACCTCACATTTTTGTAAGAAATGTACAGCATGTATACCTGTAATCAAAGTCACTAGTAAGGTAAATAAGGAAGCATCTATCAAACACAGATAATGTATCTTGTATTTTGTCCTAATTTGCTACTGCAAATTCTGAGCACAATGACTCCTGACACCACAACACAGAAATGAGAAGGTGCAGCCGCTTCCTCCAACCACATAAACTCTGTGAAGCATTTTATACATCATGGAATTACAAAGCGATGGAACAAGACCCTGAATAATTCTATTTCCTGTTTCAACGTTCGTAAATTTTCCCCAAGCACATTTCTGTTCCTGTGTGAGTACTTACCACTGCAGCTTGTCCTTACTTGTGGTGAGGCTGAGAGCAAACTCAATGTTGTGTCTCTCGACACTGAAGGAGGGCAGCCTGTATTTACTGAGGAGGAAATCCCAGCCTTCGGATGTTTGTGCCCCAATAGTATACACTGCTGTCCTCACGTCTGTTGGCAAGCTACAAGTTGAACACCGAGTTATTCTCCACATAGTATTCAGCAATACAGGTAGAAGCACAACCACGTCACCACCACACGCCAATTAGCACAGCAGACAACTTGATTAAAAAATACCCATCCCTCAGGGGTATCAGAAAGTGATCCCTGTGGCTGGGAAACAGTATATCAGGCTGTATCTCAGTATTGTTCCTGCCTTGGAAATGACTTCCAGAAACTTGGAACTCATCATTCCTTTTTTTTTTTCTTTATTTTCATATATTCCTTTCATGGCCATACCCCGTCAGATACTGATACAGTTCTCTTTGGGCTGCCCAGAAAAACCTCTCAAGAGATACTTTGGAAAGTGTTTTAAGGAGTTCTTACATCACAATGAGAAACAAAAATCAGGTGACGTTAATGAACAGTAGATAAGTGCTTTTACAGATGGTATAGGTCAATCTTCAGACATATAAGTGACGGAATACATGTTATTTTCACTTTTCAGAACATCTTTAGCAACCAAAGTTGTGGAGTTCCGTGTGACGTATGTGCTAGTTTGGGCACATATTTTGCACCAAACTGTGAAGGTAATGGAAGCTAAAGTGTAAGACATAAAACTATGAAGGCTCTATTTCAGAGTACGGAAAGGACTGAAGTTTAGCTCTTTTTGTAAATTAACTCTGGTGCAATTAAACAGAGTATCAGGAAGAATAGTGATAGTTACAGAACAGACCTCAAGGTGCCGTTGGATTTCTGCCATTCTGCAAAATATCCTGTGGCTTTGTCCACACAGGGCTGGTACCGGTGCATGCAGGCGAACAGCAGGAGTGAGTCCCTGAGATACCTCTCAGACACTGAGCCTTCATCACTCCAAGACTGGGCGTCAATCAGGTCTTTAAAAAGACTGATAATATATTCCTAAAATAAGGAAACGATAAAGATATATTTTGAAGTGCGTTTTATAGGGTACAGGCAGAGTTAGAACATTCTAGATACTTAAAATGTTACCTTCAACTGTTTTTCTGTACCATTCATATCCCTCCTCTCCATGAGCCTGTATATAGGAATCAGCTCACTCATACCTCGGAGTACAGGCATGATTTGCCTTTCATGTTTCAGGTACAAAGTTAAATCAAAAGCTTTGGAAATCGACAATTTGTTTATGCTAAGGAAGTAGAAGACAGAGGATAAAACAAATTATAATTAAAACTTAAAAGCAAAATCCAAGACAAATGTTTTTCAGAAAACTATACAAATAGGAAAGCGTGAAAGGTATTTTCAAATCTCTTTTTAACTTTGCTCTTTGAAGTGACGTGTGGCTCAGCAGCTACCACAGCTATGAAACCTAATATTTACACGTTAAACTAAGAAATGGACTGTAATAGGATGATTTAGAAAGATCAACTTTTCCCCCCATCTCCCATGTGCCAAGGTTATCCTGGTGCAGCCTCTCCCTCATGCTCTCTCCCACTATAGCTTTTGCTCTGCAAACCGTGCACATACAGAAGGAATCCCATCACCAGCAACACCTTTCCAGCTCAACATGTAGATATTTAGCCTGCAGTAAGCCTCAAGGCTGCAATCCCAGCTGCTCCTTCCCTGCTTTTACCTGACTTGGCAAACTCTCTCCTACCCCTGCCCAGGACACATCTCAATGATTTCTTCCAAGAGCAAATAAAGGAAACACAAGGTCTTTTCCCACTCTTCCTGTTCATTTGCTCATCCTGCTGCGAATCCTTTTTAATGCTTCCTTTCCATGTCAGCTCCCTGCACACATTCTCATTTTGCCCTTATTCACTTGCTTCTTCTGCCTCGAAATACCTTATGTTCTAGCCATCCACCATAAAACGAACCCTGCTTACCTCAATTTGCCTCTCTAATTTTCCCTTCTTCCCTTGAACATGCTGAAAATCTTTCTTCACTCTCCTCTTTTCAAACCAGAAGGACCTTTCCTCGGCTGTCCAAATGAAAATTGTGACAAGTCCTGCTGACATCCCCTTGAGCTGCCCCCTCAAATTCATACCATCTTAATTGTCTCCCAGCTCCCTGCAGTGCCCTCTTTCTGGAACACTCTACACTCAGACCAGGAGTTAGTTCTGTTCCCTATTTCTCCGTGCCAGGCTATGCACACCCGTTGGCAACGCGCCTCTAAGACACAGCCTTTCCTAATGCATCCACAGAACTAAGACTAACCCTGATGGTAACCATGTCGCATCTCCGTGACTGCAATAGTCTTGTTTCTAGCTGACAAACGGCACCAGTGTCTTTCCAGGTGCAAATAGATTATCCCAGTCCATCACTTCACACTGGCATCCTTCCGCTAGCGTGTCTTTATTGAACGCGACGTGTTCCACTAAATAGGTCTAGATAAATCCACCACAACCAAGAGAAATCATAGAATCATAGAATTGCCCAGGCCGGAAGGGACCTCCAAAGGTCATCTAGTCCCACCTCCCCGCAGTCAGCAGGGACACCCCCAACTAGACCAGGTTGCCCAGGGCCTCGTCGAGCCTCTCCTTGAATATCTCCAGGGATGGGGCCTCAACCACCTCCCTGGGCAACCTGTTCCAGTGCTCCACCACCCTCACAGTGAAGAACCCTCTCCTCATCTCCAATCTAAATCTGTTCCCCTCCAGCTTGAAGCCCCTCGTCCTGTCACTGCAGCCTTTTGTAAACAGGCTCTCCCCAGCCTTCCTGTAGGCCCCCTTCAGGTACTGGAAGGCTGCTATTAGGTCTCCCCGGAGCCTCCTCTTCTCCAGGCTGAACAACCCCAGCTCCCTCAGCCTGTCAATCCTGTCAAAATCCTGGTTTTACACCACTGTAAGCAAGGAGAAAATATGCTGTGTAACAGATTTAATGAATACTACATACACTATCAACATTTCCTTCCTTAGTGGTACATACTCATAAATACAGAGTTTGTATTTTTTTCAGACTTGGTCAGAAGGCCGTACCTCACGAGCTGGAATACGTTGTTGATGAGACTTGCTCTGTCATTGCTGCTAACTGCTGTGTGATTCTCTCTCAAAAGGTTAATCAGACGATCCCATCCATCATCTTCATAATGCACAATGTAATACCCATTCATGTCCACGTTGAATTTAATCCACTCCACCTCTTCCGGAAGGATAATGACATCTGGAAACAAAAACGTAACTCCTTTTTTTCTTGACAATTCAAACACATTCTCATACTACACCCAATAGCACTATTACTTTAACTTCAGTGATTTAAAGAACGCACTAACATGGTTTCTAAATCGATATAGCAATATTATTGAGCTGAAAAAAATTTGCTTCTCTGGTACCAATAGTTCCAATTCCCCATTCTGAAAAAAAAGCATGTAAAACTCAAAGGCTTGCAAACAAACTTTGAACGAATTAATCATCTGTTTAGTCCCAGAAATTACCTGCTTTAGTTGTCATCAGAAATCTCTGAACAGTGTCAGATTTACTGGTAGTGTAGGTTAGTGGGATTTGCCACAAGTACCTATTGCAAAACAGAAGTGCTTTGTTTAATGGAAGAACTTTACAAAAGCCTCTCCAGTTTGCCCCAATCCAATGGCCACCTTTGCCTGCACGGTAACGGCACCATGCTGTGCTCCGACCCCCAACTTCAGTGCCAAGCCAGGGGTGTTTTCCCAGCTTTTACTTCTTTGACTTTAGGGGATGACTGACACTGAAGCCACAACAACACGAACTTTCCAGCTGGCACGTCTCCCACCACCGCAGCTCTTGGCACCTTGGCCAAGCGCTCAGAGTCCAAGAACAGCTATTGACCCTGAACTATACCAGGAAAGGCTTGCAGCCAAGCAGCTCAGTGAGCCATTCCTCAAGAATCACAGAATGATATGGGTGTTGGAAGGGACCTCTGGAGATCATCTAGTCCAAGCCCCCTGTCAAAGCAGGTCCACCTAGAGCAGGTTGCACAGGAACTTGTCCAGGCGGGTTTTAAATGTCTCCAGAGATGGAGACTCCACCACCTCTCTGGGCAGCCTCTTCCAGGACTCTGCCACCCTCAAAGTAAAGTGCCTCCTCATGTTTAGATGGAACTTCCTATGTTACCTCTTGTCCTGTCACTGTGCACCACCGAAAACCAGACCCATCCTCCTGACACCCACCCTTTAAGGATTTATAAGCATTGATCATATCCTCCCTCAGTCTTCTCTTCTATAGGCTAAAAAGACCCAAGTCCCTCAGCCTTTCACTGAATTTCACTGAATTTCACTGAATTTTAGAGTTGGAAGGGACCATAGAGATCATCTAGTCTAACTCCCCTGCTGAAGCAGGATTGCCTAGAGCTAGAGCATGTTACTCAGGACTGCATCCAGGCGGGTCTTGAAAATCTCCAAGGAAGGGGACTCCACACCCTCCCTGGGCAGCCTGTTCCAGGGCTCTGTCACCCTCACCGTGAAGAAGTTTCTCCTCATATTTGAGTGGAACCTCTTATGTTCCAACTTGTGCCCGTTGCCCCTCGTCCTCTCACTGGGAACCACTGAAAAGAGTCTGGCTCCATCCTCCTTCAACCCTCCCTTGAGATACTTGTAGGCATTGATAAGGTCTCCCCTCAGCCTTCTCTTCTCCAGACTAAAGAGTTATGTTTCCTCATAACAGAGATATTCTAGCCCCCTAATCATCTTTGTAGCCCTGAAGAAACAACAGTAGAAGCTCTTGCTATACATCACTGTTTTCCATAGTAGAGTATTTCAGTTTGCATGCCATGATTTCCCTGTTTTGTTTACCCTGTGGATGAGGGAGCATCTGCTCCCTTCAGGTAGCGCTCCTGCTGCAGGTGGACATTCTTCCCTCTCACTGTGACAGTCACCAGTGGAAAACCTGTTTGCAGTGTCCAGGTGTCCATCATTGCCTTCACATCAAGAATCTCTCCTTTAGTCCAGTGCTGTTTTTTCAGAGCAAGAAAAAGACAACACATAAGAAGAGGAGAAAGATGGGAGTACACTGACAGTGAAACAGAAATGTGTAGGTAAGAACTCTAAAAGCTCCTTGGTATTTGTAAGGTCTACGTATCTACGTTTAGACTGGGTATCATGACATCTCCAGCTGTTTGGGGGTTTTTTTGTGGACATTTTTCTATAGTTAATGACACTTCTTGAAGTACTGCTGGTTTTGAGCCAGCCCTGGGCACAGGAGTAGGATCTCTCTCCAATCTCAGAGAAAACAGATTTTCAATGGAACTGAACAAACTTTACACTCCCCCTAGAACCACACTGAAGTGGTGAAGAATGCTTTGAAAGGTGCATGAATCAATGCAACGGCACTGAACAGTACACAGACACATGTTAAACTCCTAAACACTGATAGGAAGAAAACCAGATGCTTACTGCATTTGAAGATGACTGTTGGCTGCTTCTGCAAAAACCATCACCTTGTAGTTCATTTTTATCATTACCTACTGTAGGGCAAATCTAAAAAGGAAAAAAAAACCAACAACAACAAAGTCTTTGGCCATCTCACTTTGATGTCATTCAGTAATATATTAAAGAGACAAAACACTCACGAGAACTTATAAAATATGAAAAAAAGAAAAGAAAAGGAGAATAAGGAATATTCACATTTGTCATACTGTTCCACAAATCTTCATTTTTTGTATTCTGGTAGCTGTATTTCTGCAGGTACTGGACAAGTCCAGCTTTAAACACATCAGCAGTCAGATAGTCCCTCAGCATATTCAATATACAAGATCCCTGAAAAAAAGAGTGACTAAGTGTTACCAAAACTACCCCTTAGCTGGCAAGGTGCTTGTTTCAGAAAAATTTCATCGTACCACTAATTTAAACAGCAGTTCACTTTTCTATGTCTCTCTGATTAAAAAAACAATTGAGTTTTATGGATATTGAAACAGTACTTTGGTTTTTTGTGATTATTAGTCTTAAAAATGCCACCGATTGAGTAAGGTTTTTTATTATTTTTTAATTACTATACAAGCCAGCACCATGTAATGCTCCAGTGAAAAAAAGCTCTTTGCATTAAGAATAGATAAAAGAAGTAAGGCTTCCTCATTTTAGAAATGGAAAAAGCAACTGCCATTTGAATCCACCCAGTTGTTTTGGACAAGGAATTATTCAAACTGTAAAACCATGAACACTGTGTCTCAGAGACATCATATACATAGAGGTGAAACCAGTAAAATACAACTGTATAGTACAAGCAGTACAACTGAAATCAACAGCAGTTATGTATTTTACCTTCTCATAAGAAACTTCATCAAACATTTCTAAAATTTGAGCTGGATCTTCCACAGGAGTAGATATAGGATGTGAGGAATTCAATGCATCCACTGCCATGGCATCAAAACATCTCCGTAAGAAATAGTCTTCCTAACAGGAGATAAAACCAAATATTACTGAATTTTGCTCAGTGACTACTGAATCCCTATTTGTTCTCTTTTTAGTCCATTCCACGTGACCCTTTAAGTCACAGGAAAAAAAAGAAAATGTATCTTTCTTTTTATTCCAGAGGATAAAAAAACTTAAAACAGTAATACAGTCAGTCAAACAACTTCTAGTGTTTTAAACTAACTTAAATAGTGGAGCTAGTGAGACTTAAAAATAACTCCAAAAAGACACCCGCACATTCCAACAGTTTGAGGACAGGGTGGCCAGAAACAATAAAAAAAATTTTAAAAAAAGGGTGAATTTCCCTATTATCATGCCACTGTAAAGCTATGCAAAAATTCTGCCCAGGTGCACTGTCCATCTCACTTTGCTACAAAATTTCACATATTGGGCCTCTGCTAAAGCTAGTGAGAGGATTTTAGTGTTTTGAAGACTGACCTTGTTTGATGAAATAAGATAAATTAATTTCTTTACATTTTTAAAGTCTAAATGTCTTTAAAAAAATAATTCACTGTAATCATTAACTTCCATCATCAGTTCCTGAAAATATTTACATATAGTTAAATCAACGTTCCTATCCTTCCCAGTTAACATCACATAATCCTATCAAACAGAAATGTGAAAGTAGTTCATAAGCACAAATCCGCTTGATCTTTATCCTCACTAATTAGTGGATTTAGAAGGCAGTTAAAAAACAAAAATACATTAACAGCTGCTTACAACTCTCAGTTCTGGATGGGTAACGCTGACTGACACGAACTCCATAAACTTTGCAAATCCTTCATTTAACCACAGGTCATTCCACCACTCCATGGTAACAAGGTTGCCAAACCACTGGGGGACAAAAAAAAAAAAAAAAAAGAGCTTCTGAAATTAAATACACAATTTATCACAAAGGTTGCTACTGACCTGTATGCAGATGCATTTACAGTATGTTATTCACCGCCACGGAACCTTTTTTTTAGCGATACAGCTTCCTCTGGTCTCTTCCCATTGCATTCTCATTTTAGTGGTGATACACTAAAATATGGACTTCCACTGACAAGAAACCTTGCAAAGAAACCACACTTGGCAGGAGAGCCATGTATGAAACCCTGAACCTTTCCAAACTTCCATGTTCTTATTTTGGCAGCCTGCAATTAATTTCAAGGGCTGCCAATGGTGTGAAGACCCCACAGAGCTGGAGCTGCTGGACTGAAGATGATTTTATGTCCATGCAGCCCATCCGGACTTTAGAGACATGGTTTAATGATAGCTTTTATCAGAGATAGGTTGATGGTTGGACTAGAGGATCTTAAAGGTCCTTTCCGACCTAGACAATTCTATGATTCTATAACTTCATCACCAGAAACAGTCTTCCTGATCCAGAGGAGCACCCTCAAGCCAAACCTTCTATTTTCAACTTAACAGCTCCAAGATCGCCCTACCCATGTAGGACCCCTCAATCCCAGCCTCTCCACAGGCCCATCTGAATCCCTTATCCTTCCCCAAATCTCACCTGATGAGCCAGCTCATGCGCTATTACCATAGTAATCCAAAGCTTAGAAGACGCCGAGGACTTTTCAGGGTCATACAATAATGCAGATTCCCGGTATGTGGTCAGTCCCCAGTTTTCCATAGCACCAGACTGAAAATCAGGAAGAGCTGCTAAATCTAGAAAAAAATATTGAAATACTACTGGTACAATTGTACTCAATAAAGAAGTCGCTTACTCACCCATCCCGCTTCATGACTGCTCCCACACAGGTACACATATCACACATGTTTCTAAGGGCTCTCTTAAATGTAATCTCAAAAACATACTTTAAAACAAAGCTCTACACAGAAGACAAGTATCTTCAGTTCCCAGTGGAGCTTTTCAATCTGTCTTCAAGTTCTGTAAAGCAGCCACTTTAGAAGCCTGTGAGCCAAACTGGGCCCCATCTTAATACTCTAAATTACTGATTTGGTGGTATTTTACTCTCTGTGCGCTTAATAATGTTCTCAAATCCACTAAATTATTTAACAATTACCTTGTTTAGGTAAAGGATATGGAATGCTGAAGTAATCCTCATAGAAGTCTAAAAGTTTCACTGCTGCATCCAACGCATACTCAGCTTGGTCGATCTTGTCTGGCGCTGTATACACAGAAATCTACAGGGCACAAGCAGGCAGCACGTCAACCCCAGCACCACAAGCTTACAGAATGTGTTCTTTATCAGTTACTTGAATGACCATAAAAAGGGACACTAGACCACATACCTAATGCTTCTCATACAAGCGGTACCAAAATACTTGCAGGAAAATGTTACCAGAATTAGGAATACAAGTCCTAAAACTCACTCACCACAACCACTACGTCCCTACAACAACTTCTACTATTGCCAGCCCTACTGTGTTAAAAGCTGTTCAACTGACACAGCTTTATTTTAGAGCTGATTCTCCATGAAAACTATATTTTATTTGTCTTTAATTATATAATCTTATGTTACCAATGTATAAAATTATATAAAAAGTAAGCCCGTTACCAAACACTTGTGAAACTCATAAAGCTTAGAACGCAAACTAATCATCCAATTACAAAACCCATTTCTTTCTCTCCTTTACTCCCATAAAACATTGAGACATATAAATCTGATGATTTAACTAAAAAGCAAACCATTATGTATTCAACCAGACTTGGATACAAAAAAAGCTCTTAGAAAATGAGACAGAGTTACCTGAACTCCATGACTGGTTATTTTGCTGATGGATTTAAAATCCGAAACGATAAAGGCCACAAGGTACGTACTCATCTTGACAGTGGTATCAAAATGGTCCTCGATGAGCTGGGGATTTATAGTCACAGACTTCACCTAAAAAAAGAGCACAGGGCATCACCCAGTGTGCTCACTACCTGTGAGGACCCTGGCACCAAGAACTTGTGTTTCTTCTCAGTTTAAAGATACTATATTTTAAATATAGATGCGACATTACAGTTAAAATGTATTACATTTTAAAGAGATTACATTACATTGCAAAGATACACTGGAAAGAAGTCATGCTCACGCCCACCCTTCCCCACAGAGAGAATGAGAACATGCATGTATGTACATAGGGGCATTTTCATTCCTGTTACTTTGACACTGGGAAAACCAGAAAAATGAAAACACTGCTCACTGTCTCGGTTTTCCTCAGTGTCTGCCAGCACACTGATGGAATTAACCTCACAAACCTGAGCTGATCAGCAGCTGTATAAATCTCAGCAGCCCCTGTTACACATGAGTGAAGTGAACTCCAAATCGTGACTCAGGTGCCTCAGGTATCTAATTTAGCATAAAATGAGTCACATGTTGAAGGTATCCATTTCCCCTCTGGGTTTCAGGTTGCCTCAGCTAACTAACTTAGACCTGCAACACATTTAGCCACACTGAACTGGAACACTGGCACTCACTCCTTTTTCATTATTTTATCCACTTATTTACAGAAAAACTGATTTTTTTTTTACACCAGCTTTCAAAACTTTTTATTTTTGAAAGGTGCTTGGCTGAGAGGTGGGAAGTGCTGTTCCCTCTTGTAAGGGTTAGTTTCCTTGCAAACCAGCAACTAATAGAAAAACTTATGAAGAATCTCTTACACCCAAAGTAAGAGCAAATGTACAAAATGCAGTTAACCCTATATATGCATACATATTTATAATCACAAAAATTTGTAGATACTACATGTACAGCACTTTCACTCTGAGATGTTTTTGAAGTCCAAAGTAGTATTTTTTTTCACAGAGAAGGTCCTGCATTAATTATTAATTATTCATTAATTTTTTGAAATTAATTTATTAATTAAATTAATGCACATGAATCGTGTATCTCTTTCCATATATATCGTCATTAATTTTAAAATCTAAGATCAACATGGAAAGCATTCTGTGAGTAAAATAAAGATTTTAGAGACTATGTTGTGCTGATCATTCTCACACTTCTGCTGAGTAGCAGGAAATCATTATTTTCTTCGTTTCTTTTTAACTTTGTGTCAAAACTACCAGCACTGGCACCACACACTCTCAACAAGGAACTGAGGTAACGTGGAATGGAATGAGAATGGAATGGAATAGTGTAGTTTAGTTTAGTTTAGGTGGGAAGGGACCTTTAAAGGCCATCTAGTCCACCCCCCTGACATGAGCAGGGGCACCTTCAACTAGATCCAGTTGCTGAGAGCCATATCCAACCTGACCTGGAATGTTTCCAGGGTTGTGGTGTCTGCTAACCCTCTAGGCAACCTGGACCAATATCTCACCAAACATCCTCAGGTCACCATTCCCAGTAACAGCAATTGCCTGGGTACTCTGTTCTCCTTTTGCTTTGTGTGACAAAGATCATCAGTCAACAGCACATCATTAAAAGCATCTACCTACAATTGGCATATTGGACAGTGCGTGGTGCTTCGGTTCCCTCCTGATCTTAATTGAAAACCTGGCTTTGAAGGCTGGTTCATCAAAACACGGGAAGGCCATTCGCGCTGCTGTTGGCTCAAACTGTGTTGCTGCAAGCACTCTAAGCAGGGGCAAAAAGATAAGGGTTATGGTCAAGCACCTTCATATACAAAGTAACATGTGAAAACAGCAATTTCCCATTTGCACAGTAACTACAGGTAGTACTGAAAGCTTTTGCATATCATAAAATCATAGAATCACTGAATGTTTAGAGTTGGAAGGGACCTTAAAGACCACCTAGTTCCAACCCCCCTGCCATGGGCAGGGACACCTCCCACTACAGCGGGTTGCTCAAAGCCCCATCCAGCCTGGCCTTGAACCCCTCCAGGGATGGGGCATCCACAGCTTCTCTGGGCAACCTGTTCCAGTGTCTCACCACCCTCACAGGAAATAATTTCTTCCTGATATCTCATCTAAATCTCCCCTCTTCCAGTTTAAAACCATTCCCCCTCATCCTATTCCTCCACTCCCTGATCAAGAGTACCTCCCCAGCTTTCCTGGAGCCCCTTTAGGGACTGGAAGGGGCTCTTCAGGTCTCCTCAGAGCATTCTATTCTCCAGGCTGAACAACCCCAACTCTCTCAGCCCACAGCAGAGATGCCCCAGCCCTCCCATGAAGGATTACCTGAGTTCTCCTTCCCGGGTCCTGTAGGTGCTTTTATAAAAGCCATGGAAGGACTCGGAGAGATTTGCCAGGTACTGGATGTGGAGCGTGTAGTTGTGCCCGGCCTGCAGGGGCTCGGGGGTGAGGAGTGCCACCTGCTCCAAGGCCTGGTGCTCCACCACCTGCGTTTCCAGCAGCGGGTGGCCGTGGCCAGGCTCGATGGCGGCCCTGGCGATACGCAGGCGCTTGCTGTGCAGGACCACCGCGCTGGTCCGCTGCCTGACCGTAACCTCGATGGCGGCCGTGCCGGAGAAGGTCAGGGTGGTGAGGTTGGGATGGATGAGGAGGTGGTAATGCAGCGGGACCACGTCCTTGGGGAGCCTCACCTCTCGCCAGGGGAACGGCTCGCTGGCCCCGCCGGCAGCCAGGGCCG